TCCCCCCCAGTCAGTGAAAACATTGTAGGCTTTACTAAGGGCTCCCTCAGCCCGGGATTTGGCTGCAGGTGCACTTGGGGGACAGGGTGGTTCCCTGGCCACCCGCAGAACTGAAGGGGTGGGGCCCTTCCCCAAGCCTCCCCGAACTGGGCCTTTTCAGCTGTCCCAGAGCTGGTTGCGCCACATAGCCAACAGTAGTTTTTGTTTTTGTTTTTGTTTTAATGTGCCTGGCAGCCACTGCCAGTCGCAGGCCTGGGGGGCGGTCCCCGCCCAGCTTTCACACGCGCCCCTGACTCATGCACACATTAGTTCAAAGTGGGTGGGGTGGGTGGCTCTCGCCGCAGACCCTGTGCGCTCCGCTCCATCCCGCCCTTCTGCCCTGGAGGCTCTGAAGCTGGCCAGGGCATGATCGAGGTGCCGCTTGTTACTTTGGCCGCTTTTGGTTTCACTTCTGTTGCATTTCCTCATTCTTCCTCAAACTCTTCCCATGATTCCCATGTAGCCACAGTAAAAATATTAGCCCCAAGTAGCCAGGGAGCCAAATGAATCGCCTCTGCCCAAACCTTTTGAGCTATGGGATTTGACAAATCCAATCCCCTGCTTTTAAGCATATTTCTCAGTGCTTTAAGCACAGGGTCCTCAGACTTAAAAGTTGCGTTACCCATCTTTTGGGTCTTCCTTACCCTGAACTTCCGATTGGCCCCAATCCATTTTTCTTCTTTCTTTCTTCTTTCTTTTCTTCTTTTCACCTTCCTTCGAGTGCCACACTGGGGCGCTGCCGGGGGGTTCGAGGCAGCGACCCCTGTGGAGTGATGATTGGGGATGAGTAAGCATGCCGTTCACCAGGCCCATGCCGCCCCCCAATACCGGGAACACTCAGGTGCAATGGGGAGCCTAGTCAAGCAGGGACTCATTTATTGCAGGTGTTACAGAGCTTATAAAGGCACCTGGAACTCCACCCCCCCCCCGTCCGCCCAGGGTGTATCTTAAGGATGGTCACGTGCTGATCATGCACTCCTCAGCAGTGTGGAACTATTCTTCAGACTTTCAAAGCAAGCCAGGCCGTGCCCTCCAGTAACTTCCTTTCGGACCTATGCAAGGTGGGGCCTTTAGGTCCCCACAGGGCTCTGCTTAAAGGCCAGCAAGCAGGTCTAGAAACCCAACATGGGACGCTTTTAAGTGTCCTACTTTAAATTCATGCCAAAATCCACTTTCCAAGGGCCCATCGGTTCCACCATGAAGCAGCGTGTTTGAGCATGGAACTCCACAGCCTTGGCGCTGGCTGTGAACAGCGGCAGTGGGAACAGAGGACTCACAATGGCCATTTTGTTTAGTCTTGCCAGAGTCACTGTGGACCATTTCAAAACCCCTGGAGGCTTCTGCAGCCCACTCATAACTGTGGACTAGAGGCTGCCTGTACAGAAGACCTTGGTCTTACTGGGACTAGGCAGTCACCTCTGAGGGATTTTTCTATAGTCCAGCCATTGTTGCTAACAGCTTAACATGATTCCTTTTAACCCTCAAGCAATTTTATAACATCAGTTTTATGAATATTCCCATTTTATAGATGAGGAAACTGGGGCTTTGAGAAATTATGTGACCTGATTAAGAAGTGAGATTTAAATGTGAAGTTGACTCTGAGGCCTGTGATCTCAATAGTCTATTGAAATACCTCAATGTTGTTTTGTTTTAATATCAAATTCTAAAACGCAGAATAAGGTTTACCAAGCACAAAACCATATTGATTGATTTTTAAAAGGCAGCAGGGGGTAGAGAGCTCGCATTGCATGTACAAGACCCTGGGGTTGGTCCCCACCATTGCAATAAATAAATAAATAAATAAGCAAGCTAAAGGAGTGCTCTGAGATGGTAGACACATGGAATGTACATTTTTAAAAAATTATTAAGCCAGATGTTTTTATTGTATGTAATTTTGCTTCAATAAAGTTAATTTAGAAAATAGTTATCAGCTCCTTCACTTTCACACCAGCTTCCCATGTCTGTGGATCTTTTTCCCTTCCCATCTCTACAACTATCTGTGTCTAATGACTTCCCAGGACCAAGTGAGGATAAGATCCAGCTGTATTCAGGTCTAGTGACAAGAGCATGTCTGCCATCCATCCCCAAAGCCCTCCTGCGCTCTTTGCAGTCAGCTCAATGCCTTCAGTCCTTCCCGCAGACATGGGAAGCTGGCGTGAAAATGCAGGAGCTGATAACTGTCTTCATGGTTTTAATTTATACCTTCTTAATATTTTATTTGTTTTTATTTTATATGTATGAGTGTAGCTGCCTGCGTGTATGTAAGTGTACCTGTGTCGTGTGAGGTCAGAATGCCCATGGCGGTCAGAAGGTGTCAGATCCCCTGGAACTGGAGTTACAGATGGTTGTTAGCCACCATGTGTGTGCTGGGATTTGAACCCAGGTCCTCTATAAGAACCGTCTGTGCTCTTAACTGCCGAGCCATCTCTCCAGTCCCTATACCTTCTTTAAAAAAACAATGCTTCATTTATTATTTTTATTTTCTGTGTATGAGTGTATTGCCTGCATGTATGTAAGTACACCCATGTCATGCAGCACCCACAGAGGTCAGAGAGGGTGTTGGATCCCTTGAAACTGGAGTTATGGATGGTTGTTAGCTGCCATGTGGGTGCCTGAGTTTATACCTTCTTGACGTTACCTTTTCATGTATTTGGCATCTAAGTATCATCTTTTGTGGAGCTGGAAAGATGGCTCACTGGTTAAGCAGAGGACCCAGGGTTCAGTCCCAGCACCCACATGGCAGCTAACAACCTCCAGGTGATTCTCATCTCCACCTCTGTCACATCGTAGGAGTGCTAGGGTTACAGATGCAGGCCACCACATCTGACTTTTATGTAGGTTTGGGGATTGAACTGAGATCAACCATTTGTAACCCTAGTACCAGGGGATCCGATGCCCCCTTCTGGTATCCATGGGCATTGCATGACATGGGTGCACTTATATACATGCAGGCAAAACACTCATACACATAAAAAGATTGTGTGTGTGTGTGTGTGTGTGTGTGTGTGT